CTGTCCCCCCCGCCGGGAGGGCACCGCCCCCGCTCCCGCCGGCGGCGCGTGGCGGGGAGGCGCTCGAGGGGTCCTTCATGGTGCCCTACCAGGGGGCTCTCTACCGAGTCCACTACTCCTCGGGGGAGACCCGGTGCTTCCTCTGCCGGGCGGCACCAGCCGGAGCCCTCCCCACCCAGCCGCCCTTCTGCCTGCCTGCCTGCCTGCTCCCGGTGCTTCCTCTGCCGGGCGATGGGGCACGTCCGGAGGGACTGTCCCTTGGCCCGGTCGGGGGAGGCGTCCGGGACCTCCGGGGCCCGTGAGGACATTGGCCCCACCACCGCCAGCCCCCCTGGTAGTCTGGCCTCCGCGGCCGCCCCTCCTCCAACCGACGGCCCTGCTCGGGAGCCGGAGGCGCCCCCTCCGACGTGCCCGAGCGGGCAGGCGGGCCCCGCCTCTACTCAATCTGTCCCTGCGGGGCCCGAGGAGGAGAGGGTGGCGCGGTTGCCGCCGGGCAAGGGAGAGGGCCCTCCCCAGGTGGAGGTATCCCCCTCCTTCCCTCCTTTGCCACAACGCCCTCCCCGAAAATCAAACGTGCCCCCCAGCCTTGCCCCTGCTGACCAGCCCTCCACCTCCACCTCGGAGGACTGGACGCTCGTCCGGGGGAAGCGCAAAGCCCGCCGTTCGCGGGCTTCCTCTCCCCCCTCCGATGCGGAGGGCGGGAAGGCCCCCCGAAAGATCCCGAGGGGGGCCAGCGCTGTCAAAATCCCCCCCGGCGAGCGTCAGCAGGAGGCGCCGGCCGAGGAAGCCGTGGCAGTGAGGGGGGACAACGATGTCCCTCCTGAGGAAAGCCCGCCGTTCGCGGGCTTCCTCTCCCCCCTCCGATGCGGAGGGCGGGAAGGCCCCCCGAAAGATCCCGAGGGGGGCCAGCGCTGTCAAAATCCCCCCCGGCGAGCGTCAGCAGGAGGCGCCGGCCGAGGAAGCCGTGGCAGCGAGGGGGGACAACCATGTCCCCCCTGAGGAGCCTATCCACGAGGAGGCCTCTGATGGAGCCCCCCCGGCCCAGGCTCCAATTGCCCCCCCTTCCGTCCCCGCCGAGGTAATTGGTGCCTTGGTGGCCGGAGGGGAAGGCTCCGGGGCCGAGGGGATGGAGTTGAGCTCCATCTTTGAGGAGATCGAGGCCCTGGGTCTGACCCCGCTCACCCAGGGGGAGGACGACCCTCCGCCAGCGGGCCTCGGTCTGGGCGGCGACTCCGTGGCGCCGCCCCCTCCTCTCCCCAACCCCGTGTCCCAGGTGGCCGACCCCATCCTCACGCTCGGGGCACCCCTGATACTGCCCACTGGCCCGGCCGACTCGAGCGCCGGAACGGATGCTGCCGAGCCCCCCGGGGCGACAGCTGGCGCCGAGCGACCGAGTCCAGGGGCTGAGGGTGCCCCCCCTCCAGTAACCGGGGTGGGGCGGTCATCCTCCCTTCCCGTTGGGGGCCCACCACAAGATACCATACTGGCCGACGCCGAGGCACTAATACTAGCTTTTCCATCTGAGCCCGGCGTCGGCGCGGACCCCCCAGTTCCTGATCCCGACCCCCAGGTCCCCATCCGGGAAGCGCCGCAGCCTGGTGGAATGGCCACGGGGGACCCCTTCCCAGACCCTGCCTGGGATTCCGATGCCCCCCCACGTCCCGATCCTCCCCCCACCCCCGCTTCTGCCCTTTACGAACCCATCTCCGGTACCGAACCCTCCCCTGTTCCCGATCCCTCTCCTACCCCCATGTCTGCCCCTTTCCCCAACCCTGACCCATCATCCAGCCTAGAGCCCACCCTCCCCCCCACCCCTACCGTGGAAAACACCCTTCCGTTGCTGTCCCCCCACCCTTTTCCCATCCCGGCCCCGGCCGTGTCACCCGATTCACCCCTACCACCTCCCCAAATGTCCGCTAGTGCCACCCCCGCGAGGGCCGTCTCATTCCCGCTAGCTATGGGCGGCCCTCGGGGGGTTGTTTTTGTATCCCCAGTCCCCGATCTGTTAGGGGCTGCCGTGTTCCCTCCGCCGCCTCCTCCCTTGCCGGGGTCGGGGGCGGGCAGCTCGGCGCCAGCCGTGTCGGCGCCACGACGGGGATCGGACCCCTGTTTGCCCTCCTCCGTGGCCTGTGAGCTCCACCTGGGGGCCTGGACGGAGGACAACCCTGGTTCCCCCTCGGCGCTGAGGAGCTAGCTGCGCCAATTCCTTGCGGACAACCGCAGGGCAAAAGGAAAAGTGCAGCTTGCCCTCCAGCGCTGGGGGGACTTTCACTCCATCCTTCAGGCCACTAGAGCCTTGTTGCAGCAGGGGAGAGGGGCCGATAGGCAGGACGACGCGGCCTTCCGCCGGGCCCGCAAGTTTCGAGACTCTCTCCTGACCTTCGGGTCGGGGAGCGGTCTGCTGCCGGGCCCGCGGGGGGCCGCCGACTCACCTGCCCGCAAGGATCCACCCCAGCCCTCAGTATGACTTACGCCACCATCGCGACACTGAACGCCCGGGGCTGTAGGGCGGGTCTCCGCAGGAGCCGGGTGCTCTCCTTCCTCCGGGAGGGGGGGTACTCGGTGGTTTTCCTGCAGGAGACCCTCACGACTCCAGCCGTCGAGGCTGGCTGGCGGCTGGAGTGGGGGGACGGGGTGTATTTTAGCCACCTCAGCGCTCGCTCGGCCGGGGTGGTCACCCTGTTCTCCCCTGCCCTACGGCCCGAGGTGCTGGGGACCGCCGAGGTTGTCCCGGGCCGCCTGCTGCACGTCCGGGCCCGCGTGGAGGGGCAGACGTTGAACCTCGTCAACGTCTACGCCCCGAACGCGGGCCCGGACCAGGTCACCTTTTATCGGCAGGCGGCCACCTTCCTCGGCACTTTGGATCCTCGCGAGTGCCTGGTCCTGGGCGGGGACTTTAACACCATCCTCGATGACCGGGACCGTGTAGGACTCGCGAACTGCCAGGCCGCGGCGGACGTCCTCAGGGAGATCGTGGAACATCACTCCCTGGTGGACGTCTGGCGGGACCACCACCCGGACGACAGTACCACCTTCACTTACGTCCGGGTGGGGAAAACACGGTCGAGCCACTCCCGGTTGGATCGCATTTAC